TCTATTTTGCAGCCAATCAATATGCTTAAAAAGTTTGTCGTACGACAAATGTAATATCGGCCTTAGCCCTTAATAAAGATAATAGCCAAAAAAGTTCGTTGCCGCCCGTGGGCGGGAACGAACGTGTTCAGACACGTTACGCGTGTGTCCTTTGGATCATATTTTTGAGTTTTATCTTCCCCTTCTAAAGAGGAATCCTTTCTAATTGTTCACTTAATCCTTCTCACCTGGCCGTGTGGTGGGTAATTAATTTGTGCATTTTAATGTTTTTATATAAATGTCTAGAAACTGCTCGATTTCTGCTGTCAATCTGCCGTCAGATTGCGCGCAGGCTCTGCGTGATTTCTGCTGCCAATCTGCTCACATTGCCTGTCAGCAGGCTCTGTCGACAAAACCTGAGCTTAATGTGGTCACAGATGGCTATGGTTTTGGCATGGAATTCTGATTAAATTTGCTGCCAATCTGCGCGCATGCTGCTAGCATTTTGCTATCTGGGTACACGATGTTTTAAAATATCTCATGAATCATATAATCTATATGTGTTTCTTCTTCGAAAAAAGTTAACGATTTTTCTCAATTATTTTGTACTGATATTGTAAGAAAATATTATTTATTGCACCTTTTTCTTGTATAGTTAAAACATTTTAATATGATATAATTTTATGTGTAATATTTAATATTTAACATTTTGGTAATTGGGATTGATAGCTAATTGCTGTTTATATTTTTTTATATATACTTCCCAAGTATATAGATTTATGAAACACAATATTCTAAATATAGTATTTTTTAAATCTTTTTTCAAATGGTATGGTTATTTCTAAAAAATTATTTAGTTATTTAAACAAGTAAATCCGTAATCATTTTGAGCGATATATTTTTATGATTCGGAATGCAATTCTATTTTTCGTGTCGTATCGTAACAAAACGAACTGCTTTAATAGAGAAGAAGTGACGCTCGCATCGGCTATCTCGAATGTGCACCACCTGCGCGTCCAATTCGATTATCTCCTACAAACCACAAAGACAAGCCCGAGGATGTTCAATAACCGCGTACCGAGATCTAATCGATCGTACGATATTCATCTGACACGAGTCCAGTGATCTATAGATCTTTCGAGGGCAAAATTTAATAGCTATATGTCAATAAAATGTCAATATTTAAACATTAAATGATAATCTTAATTTCGCACAAAATATAAGTATATATTTTAAATATTATAGATATTTTAGATTTATGAGTAGATATTTCTGAATCAATTTTTCTAAATTTTACTCACTCGAAAAAAAGAGATGGAATATATTTGTAATAGACACGGCTGTTATAATATTTGGACATTTTAAAGATGAAAGATGCAAACCTCACATAATTATCCGCAGCTTTTAATTATAAAAGTTTGAACATCCAGGTAATTAAAATACTGAAAAATGAAGCAGAAATCTGGTAACATCAAGAAGACGCAGCTATATAGGTTGCGTTTAGGTTCGGTATGTCGGGAACCCTTCCATTATCGGGAACGAGCACAAGAAATGAGGACGTCGCAGGTGGATGATAATTAATTAAACGCTTTCTCCCTCATTACCGGCGGTTCTAGACCGCTTAATATACGTTAAAGCTGCGAGTATTTCAATAATATTGAGTTCATCATCTATTTCCAGCAAATGTACCATAGGTTCAGAAAATTTAAAAAATTGATCGCGTAAAATGATAACTAGCCGAAATAGTTTCTTCATTTAATAATGCAATTCATTTTAATAATGGACGAGCGCTTCTTTGTTTAAATCTGTAAACTTATTGCATAAACAAACTTTATATATTAAATATTGAACAGGGTATATAATAATAATGTCGTATATTACATGTACGAATTATATTTCATTAACAATATTCTCTGATAATTGATATATGGGAATGTGTTATTATTAAATTAAACAATATCGCGATGCATGATGAGTCTCGTAAAAGCTTTGCGATAAGTTCCCGCATTCATCAACAATGAAAATTTCAGTTCCGTAAATTATTATTATATTAATTAATTAATTTTTTGGTAAGACTGCATAAAAGATAACACACCTCCGATTTAATCGCCACTTAAATATATTATAGAGGAAGCTTTTCTGAGTAATTCTCTGCAAGAAATAAATGAAGGACGGTATTATAGTTTAGGAGATATAATAAATTGAAGTTTCACAGTTTTAATGCTTTTTCTCAGGTATTATAAAATAATATTAGGAAAAGTAAAGTTTTGTATTTGTTGTATAGCTTTTAACGAACTGCGAGAAATAGGTGAAACACATTATTGACAAAGTATCCATGAGTGTATACCTATTCCGTAAATGTAAACAAACACTTTTTCCACGTCTGCTCTACACAAATACAACATAAACAAACTTCATGTTTCTTTATTTTATAATAGAAAAAGCATTAAAACTATGAAGCCTCCTCTACAACATATTTAAGTGGCAATAAAATTGGAGGTATGTTACCTTTTATACAGTTTTACTAATTTTTTAGTTTATGCTTGTTAGAGACGCAAATGTTTATAATTCATAAGACAAATATTTCTGAGTTAAACAACGTACGTATTTGAAAAAGAAAAGAATTCGCGGAAGAAGAGAATTCGAGATGAAAAGTAAAATTACATGTAGGCAATCACGTGTCAAAATAAATTATGGTCCCTGCTATACATATAAGATTATAGTAAATCGCGATTAATTTACTTTTTCGTTCCGCAAACGAAACATATCACCATATATAGAATTGAAAAAAAAAACATTTTCTATTGTCTTGATCGATTAAATAACTCGTATTTGGATATCGAAATAATTAAAGCTGAATAATACAGCAATATAATACGAATTTTATTTGCAAATAATAAAAATTCTGGTAATATATTTTTATTTCAGAGAAGATAAACAATAAACTGGATTTTAATTCGATTCGATTCTGAAAGTGTTTTTTGTTCTAAAAATAATATTATTTATTGCAGCACACTCGATTATGCGTATTCTAAGTTACAATGCCATGTTGGAAAAAGCAGACTAATTTAAAGTATTGTTGATAACGTTTATCTCAAATGTCATTTATCGTCTAAATTGCTGGAAATATGAGGAGGAAATGTGGACGTGGCAATAAAATGCCATTTCCAATTTTTTTCTAATTTAACTCTCTCTCTTTCTCTTTTACATATATTGTAGCAAAATTAAATTAAATTGCACAAAATACACGAGTAGTAATACTTGACATCATAATAATAAATGAGTTATAAATATGGTTTGTGTGAGGTAACAATTTTTAATATTTGCTAAAATATAAATTTCAAATTTTTTTTCTCTTTTTTGATTCCACAGAAAACTGTCTCCTGAAATAAGAGCTCAAATATTACGTATCCTGAACTATTCATTTATGCATTGAACGATGTACGATATTAAACCATCATTTCGTGATAAAGAAAATGTTCAATTACCCATAAAAATCGAATCATCCCAAACGTAAAATATAGAAAAAAGAAGATAAATCCTATGTATGAAAATTTCGACATGTAGATAAACATAGAAGTTTTATCCAGAGATAAAATTTTTTTGAACACGGTAAAACGTTATAGTAAACGTTATACGTATCCCTTATGTATAATATAAAGTATAATATAAACATGTATCACGGCAATAGTTAATATTACATATTAGAAACGAAAAAAACAAGTATGTGATAAATGTGTAGAGAGGTAAAATTTTCAAAAATATGGAAACAGAATGCGGAAATTCTAGTATAGAAATCACACAAAATGAAAAATACATACCACAATCGAAGAAAAAGAAAGTTAAATATTTGGACTCTGGTTATCACACTTTAGGAGATATAGTAGAATCTCGATACTGTGAATTAGATAGAAATGGCACTAATTCAGGCTATTAAAGATTCGAAGTATGTAGAATATCGTGTGATTTAATTTAAATAGTTTTATAAATTATAAATTACGGTGCTTATATAACTGCTATTTTTATTAGTACCAATAAAATAATTTGTTAGTGTAATAAATTAAGTCACAATATAATAATGAAAAGTTATTTCGCGATTAATAGCTAATAATTAATTTATATTTCATTATTAATTTAAATTTAATTATTTTTTTAACATTCATTAAATATAATTAATTCACTCATCATCTCTAAATCACTCAAAATAAATAATACGATTACATAATATCTCTAATTATGCCAATTGATCGAGATTCTACACATTCATAGAATAAATGTCAATAAAGGATAAGAGGAAGGAAACAAATCGAGATTACGAAAAATCATCGCAAACAATTAAATATATGTGTATTTACATGTTGCGCGAGCAAAGATTCACCTCGAGATCCATAGTGGTGTGTCGTGATGGCGGGGTGCCGTATTGGCCGTGTGGTGGCGGCAAATGATGTGGGTGTAGGGGATGCAGCTGCTGCGCTGCGTTGAATTGCTGATGATGAAGGGACGGTTGATGATCGCCGCCGAGGGTGTGCCTTCTAGGCTCGTCCCTCGAGCGGCCACCACCGCCGGAGGAACCTCGGCTCCCCGAGCCACCCCCGCCAGCGCCGACACCGACCCCCAAGACGCCACCGCTGCCGACGCTGCCCCCGCCAGCACTGCCTGCCCGTCTGCCAGGTGTGAGTTCGTTTGAGCCAGGTTCAATCTCCCCCCTGACGGACCCCCCTGAAATCAGAAATGTTTCTAGTTAGCGATATCGTTATCGATGTTCCAGACAAATATTTAATAATAATCTTACATCTTTTGCAATTTACATAGGTACATCTTATGAATAAATATTCTCTGTTGAAAACTCTTTTAATTAACAAAAATTTAATTGAACGCTATATATATATATATATATATATATTTCTTGGAATTTAACATTAATTGTTTTAGTTCCACAAAATTACTCTAAAATTTCAAGTATATTTGTTACGAATTTATGAACCGTATTTATCGATGATGATACAGATCAACAAAAGAAAACAAAAAAGAGAAGCATTTTCTTTCTTCAATTTTTTTTATGATTAATCTTATCTTAACCTTTTGATTTTTATAATACAAATGTCTTCTTCGGATTAAAAGCTTTAATGATATATCTATTTTTTGCAATTTATTGTATTTCATCATAAAATGTGATTTGACATTTTATTAGATACTGTCAAACTTATCCAAAGAAAGAAAGAAAGATTATAAAAAATAAGATAAAGTTTCACGGACGGAGAGGCACGGTTTGCTACTATTAATAAATTCTCGTCCCCGATAAAGAATCGAGGTAAATAGCCTGTGTGTCGACCCATTTGGCAGAAAGTAGCCGCGACAGAGCGTATATAACCGAGAATAACGCGTTCGCGGAAGTGGCCGGAAATAGTGACACGTGCGTACATATACATGGGAGGGTGTGTTCTTGCTTAGTTATTTTTCATCGCGGCAAAAAAAAACGAGGAAGAGCAAGGTTGCGCGTTAAAGTAATAGTATCTGCGGTTACGCCTGAAATCGTCAGGGATTTCGTCAGGAATTACGTCAGGAATTCGAGATAGACAGATAGATCTCGGCTATCTCGTTCAAAATTTAATATTTCTTTTTCCTTTGCTCGATATATATATGTGCTTTTTATGCTTTTCACGTTTGAAACTTCGGATATAGATTTATTTATTTGTGTGTGTAAATTATTTTTGTGAGAAAGGCACAATGCAACGAGAAAGAGATTAACAATGCTGATACATCGAATTCGCATAATTGCATAGGTCATTGTCACGGGCACGATTGTCCTCGCAATGAGCAGAACGTACGTGTGCATACAAGATGGGTTCACTTCCGGATTACAAAAGCGTCGCGCTCTCTACCTTGTTTACCCGCGTTGCTCTCGACTTAATGAAATACAAACTGGCTGATGAATACTGACGGCCGTTCCCTCTCTAAACGAACGTACTTCTCCGGGTCACAATCAATCTCGGCGAATAGTCACATGGGCCTTAACGACGTCGAAAGTTCCAGCGCGAAATCTGGACAGAAGCTTCAGAGAAAATGGGTCAGAATGGCGAATCGAGAGAGCCATCGTCCGATTAATCACGAGATTCGAATTCCGACGGAACTACATGCGTCATGGCGGCGTCATACCTCGCGTGGGTGGCCAAACGTCGTACATTTCGGTGTTGCGCCGAAATGGCCGTTCCGCGCAAACGTCAAATTGCTATCTGACAAATGTATGTCGTAAAGCATTATGTCGCACCGGTGCTCGATTCACCCGCATTCTTGAAAAGGCGAACGTTAGCGATTTTACGAGATTTTAACACGTGATATATGTAACGATTCTGCTACGGAAAGATCACTTTCTCGGGCTAAGTTCGATCCGAATTTCCGGATGTGTCGCTTCATTATGTGATAAATCACGAATTTGAAGCCGAGCAAATATGTGCATAGATTATGTGTACTTCTACGTGTCAACATACTATTTGATTATTGGAACTAAGAGAATTCGGGGGGTTGTAAAAGCTTAGAGCGTAAGCGAGTTTAAATTATATAATTAAATTCGCGAAAATTGAAATATATTATATAATCATCAAATAATTATAAATTATGTCAATCTTAACGGGATTAAAATTTTCACATTATTTGCAATAAAATATTTTTAATCCATCAGCTATCAATGCCATAGTATAGTAAAATATAAAACGAGTGAAGTCTCTCATTGATCGTTAAAATAACTTGGTAAATACGTAAATAGTAAGCTGTACGCGTGCGAGAATTAGCTGCAAGTAATATCGAGGCTACGTGCGTACTTTGCAACAATAAGCCGCGCAAGTTTCCACAATAAAGGGGTTTATGCGCCATGGTGCGACACTTGTAATTGGCAACGTGAGTAAACTATTCTCTAAACTCTGACAAACCGCTTTGAAATTTCAATAAGCATCTAATACGAAAATGCAAGACATACAATAGCAATATTATAAGATGATTATCGTCGAAAATGAAACATCGCCTTTTGATTTTGCTTTAATCATAAGATACCGTCCAGGATATAATAATAATATATTTACGTGTTTATAGTGCAATAACGATTTTTCACAGTCAGTTTTTAAAATGGAAAAAGTAAAAATGATAATTACTAAACATACATATTTATTTTATTTCAACTTACAAAAAATGTTATTCCAATTAATCAAATACGTTCATTTTATCATTTTCTTTTCAATACGGCTGTCTCATATTTTGTCACTTTGTATTAAACGATGTAATATTATCCGATATGACACGTGTTTGGTATCAGTGCTTATTAAAATATCATCCGTCAATCTGATCGATGTTTCTCTAAAACGAGAATCGCGACTTCTGCGGAAAACTGCCGAGGAAAATCATGTACGCGAGAGTAGAGACATATGAAAAAAATTACGAAGAATGACATATATAGTTTTACCTAAATAAGCAAATTTATATTGATATCTGAAATTCTGCAAATATTTTCAGATTAGCAAAATGTAATATTTTACAATGATCATTAATTATGCAAATACCCTCTAACAATGATTGACATAATTAATAGGCTTTTTATAGATTTGAACTGATCATTTGCAATAAGTAGGCTAATACCAGATTCTGAATTGGCCTCTATTTTGGATAAATTGCAATAATTACTATCGCATACTATATGTTTCGTGCAAGACAGAGAAAGAAATGGAGGGGGAAGGGAAAATATATAGATATAATTTCCAAAATTTTAGAATAGAGAAGACTCACAAAAGTAAAATTAAATTAAAATATTGATTGCTTCGTTAATTATATTACAGTAAAAGCCAACTTTCATTAATACCATTAATTTGAATCTTTCTTTAATTTACAATAAATCTCAATAAAATTTAAATTTAATTGCACCGACTGTAATGTTGAAATTTGAAAGACTAATAAATACTGACCTATCTTGACATTTTCACTATGGAAAAATTTGTTCCAAATCTGCCAAAGAATTTATCGTTGAAATTCAGTCTGTTTAAATTTACACTCTATTTATCTATGAAACAATATCGATAATTTAATAAATCTTCACGAAATTGCGTGCACTCGCGTCACTTTGTATAGACCGTACATAAACCTTATATACATGTCCAAGGCGCCATACAACGTTATATACAACGTCGGGAAGAGTACTGGCGACGATGACGGTATCCTCGTACGCGTTTATTTTCAGAAACCGGTGTAGCTGAGCGTGCGCGGTCGTCGAGAAATCTAATCTAACGCTCGCGGAAATTCGATAATCCGCAGCGCAGAGATAAGATTTTATACGTACATATATGTATGTACAATAGGCATACCTGTTTAGCTGTCTCTCTTGTATCAACGCCATTCTGATTTCTCTCGAATGTGCATACAATACACAGCACAGTAAGATAGCTAACGTTTCGGACGAAACAAGATACTTAAAAATAAGAGAAAGTAGGAGCACAAAAATGTAATAAGAATAACAATTTTAATCGAGCAATATAAGCTGTTGTATTTTTTAAAATCGTTGGCTCTACTTTTTAATTATTCGTATTTATTATATAATATCTACTTGTATTGGGTTTGTGCCGCACACATTTATCTAAATAACTGGAAGGCAAGACGAGGCGATGGAGAATCAAGTGTCTTTAATGAGAACCGATAAACGTTAGTTATGATCAAATTGCCTCGAAGATATGACGGAGATTGTTTCATACGCGGCTGCAGAAACAATCGATTTGTAAACCTATCGTGGCAAATATAATTTCGATATGCTAATACTGTAGTATATAGTACATGTCTTTTCCGGTTGTGTGTACTCGAGAGAAAATAATTCGCTCGCCAATAGCAGAGTTTCATTATCTCTTGATTCTTTTAGGACAAGTGATTTCAGAAAATTCGGAGCAAATAAGATGTTTCCTTAATCAACTAAATAAACGCAATTTTTAAAATATATATATAAAAAATTTGAAGATCGTCTATTATATCTTTAAAGTTTAAATTATATGATTGAATTTTTTAAACAAGTCGTTTGCTTTTACTCTTGCCTCAGACTATTCTACATGAAGTTCTTATTTTAAAAATTGATATATGTAAAAAGTAATATATTTATACTTTTAAAACATTTTAATCTAAGCGGTTAATTTGACATTTTAGCATACATTTTAATTTGATTCCATTCTAATAATTAGATATTGAATTAATTACTGATACATTACATTTATCTTTTATTAACATAAGTGACCATATCACTGCTTTGAAAGCAGTCACGAGTCTTGAAATATTTTGATAAAAACATAGTTTATACGCGGTCGTTATAATTAATATATAATCATGATAAGATCGAATCTCGAGCTTATCGTGACGAACTTACAACGATAGCTATACCGTCGGCGGGATGCTTAGGTTCTACGACCTCGTTTCTATCCGCTGCGTGCCCCGAGCGCGAAAATAGATCAAATCGATATACCAATGGAGAAAATACACAGTTGGGAGCGATAATTGAGGCGAGTGTGATGTAAACTTTATACTTTTCTATGTTTTATCACGCTATATTTGCAATAAATAATTATGCAAATCAAAAAATTAATTCTACAGAATGAATAATATTCCCAAGTGAATATTGAATCTTACATTATCGTTCATAAACATATGTACTTGCAATTTTTCACGTGTATAATACTTAATTTTATCTTGCTAATATGTGT